AAGCCTGGAATTTGCAGGCTTTGGGATAAAATGGTGTTGATTTTCCTTCTGCTGTTCCTGTAGTAGTCACTGTAGTGGGATAAGTATCTTTTTAGGATGCGACTACCCAGCTGTAGTAGCTCCTTTCTGTGGATAAGTATCTTTTAGGATGTGACTACCTGGCTGTAGTAGTGCCTTTCTGCTCTGTGCAGTGTGGTTTTTCATTTTTGAAGGAGAGATGCAGTAAGAATTTGAGGGAGAATTGCTGTCTGATTTGGGAGGAAAAGTAGAAATGAGATGGCGAGGGCTGAATGGAGCATCCTGAGAAAGAAGTAACTGGGTTTTAGGGATGCTTTGCTTGTGTGAGATCCATTCCTAAATCATATTCCATCAGAAAGTACATACCCAGAGAGAAGTGAAGCAGTGAAGGTCCATCAGCAGACGGTAACCTCACCACCCGCAAAAGCACACCATTTTTGTTCTTTTCCTGCGTAGTGATTCCCAGATGAGTTGTGGGACCAGCGCAGGTGTGGCTGGTGCCTTGCAGTTGCCCGTCTGGTCTCTGGGGCTGTCCCAGCACGCCTATCTGAACTGTAATATTTCTGCGGGGAAAACATCAGCCCTTTGAAGTGAGAACTGGCTGGGCAGCAGCTGAACTATGCTAATTCTTTTTTTTTTTTTTTTTTAGCAGAGGTTAAGAAGGGTATCACCTAGGACCCGAGGCAGCATTGAAGCCCTGCTTTGCTGGGCACTATGTGCAAGTGGACAAGAGAGATGATTTTCACTCTAGAAAATGTGCGATCTAAAAACCGTAGAATAATCAAGGCAATGAAGACGGGACTGTGCTATGAAGCACATGACAAAAGTGCACACTCGGCTTGGTAGCATCCATCCTGACCAGAGGTGAGAGAGTTTTCCTTTGCCGCTTCTCACCCAGCCCTTAGGTGATGATGAGTTTGTAATGACCCTGGGAGTGCTTTCCTGCAGAGGAAAGTGAAAGCTTTGGATGCTTCCTCCTTGCACCTGGTCCTGGGAAGCTGCTGCTGCTTTCTGGGAATGATACAAGGAGCCTGGCAGGCTGCCTGGGCTCTGATCAAGAATAGCAAAGGCAGCCAGCCCCAAGAACGGGCCTCAACACCCCTTGTCATGGGAGTAAAAAGAGGGCATGTGGTAAGATGCAGAGAAGGAAAAGAAGGGCAAGGAGAAAGTTGCCATTGTTGGTGCCACCTCTCTCAATTTAGCCCTGATTTAGCGCAGAATTTAGGCATTTCTGCTGTCTGTATAGAGGGCAGGGAAGCCTGAGGCTGTATCAGAGAGAACTGCAGGTAGAGAGTTTGGGCAGAACGCTGGAGAATATTCCTTGTGGAGGAGCCCACCCTGCAAAAGATGCTGTGTTAGAGGTCATGAAGACAGTCATCTGTCCAATAATTTAATGGGAGCAATACTGATCTCTAAAATGCAGGTGAACTGAGCAAGCCTTGTGCATGCGCAGAGAAGAGGGTTAGGGTTTCAGCTACAGGAGAGAGGATTTTGCATGGGAGAGAAGCTTCTCTGTCTTTCTCCTGTTTGGGTCTGCTTGTTAACTTTGAGAGCCCCTCTGTCCCTTCCCATCCATACCTGATCACAAAGAACTCAACACAGAGCTCAGGCTACAGGTCATCACCTTGCCCTCCCAGGGGCTTCGTGGCCAAAGCTCTTTTTATACTCCCTTCTCACAAAGACTGATTTTACCTTATTAAAGTTCAGAAACCTTAGTCCTTGGAAATGCAAACACTTTGGGTAGAGTCAAGTGATTAGATGCACTGCCTTCAGAAAAATGTCTCTTTTGTTTCATTAGAGGTGTGGATTGCATGGCTTGTACAGATGGATAGAGCCATTAGGTAAAGACTACGTATGTTAGAATGCTGTTTTCACTCAGTCTAGCCTGAGCTTCAACCAGTCATGGTGCAATTTTGGCAGCTAGTTTGGGAAACCGGGGAAGGAGTAACCAGAAACTCTACAGATATCGAAAACCCCATCAGCCAGCTGATAACCTGACTAGCTGCTCTCCCCGTTATAGGCAGGCTGTGTTATCCTCATCCACGTTGCCAGGGTTTTAGGACTGCACAGCTAAACGTGCCATAGATGGAGTTACATTTCTAGGTTTCTTGTGTAACTGGGAAGCTGACCTGGCAGGTGAACTTGTAGCACAACACTGGATATAGGCTACTTAGGGAATACATGACCTGTTTAGTGCTTGAGCTCTGCAGCTGGAGGATGTTGAGCAAGAATGTGTGATCTTAAGTAAAATAAAGTTAGTCACCCACTGGGTTAAAGGCTTTCATATTACAACAGAAAAACTTAAAAATAGGTACAGAACCCAGAAAGGGAGTTAGTATTAATCTCTAGCGGTGATTGTTATAAATATGATATCAAGTTTTTTTCCCTTAGAACCATAAAAGCCATTTTAAATAAACATTCTTCAAGTCCCCTTTTAAGGCTAACACTTGATAATATACACACAGAGGAATGTGGCAACCAAAAATAGTCAAAGCTGGTAGAAGAAAAATACCGCGAGGGTATAGGCTAGATTAGAATACAGGATGCAGAAAGGTGAGGAGTTGAAATGGAAGAAAAAGCATTTGCATTGAGCAGTAATACAATTTATTTGTTAGCATATTAAGGTGCCTTCCTACAGAATTAGCCTCTTAATTCACTGCCAGTGCCGTTGCTCACTGACCTTAATTTAGCAACAAAGGGGGGAAGTGTGCATGGGGAAAAGTGTTCCTTTTGTCATGCAGCTTCATTTCACATTCCCAGTTCAGCCCAAAAATGTGATGTTTGAAGCACAGCTGAAATTTTTTGCCACTTACAATTGTTCAAGACTAATAGCTCTAAACCGATCTGAAATTAGGAACCTTGGGAAGTGGAATTACAAATTTAAAGATACTACAGGCTAGCTCTTCCCTGCACTGCGCTGGTCCGCGGGAGGCCATGCCTTCTCCTTTCTCCACCAAGCGTTAGATGGGAGACTCGTGCTGTCCCTCCAGCAGAAGCCCTGTGTGGGAAGCCTGGCTCTCGCTGCTCAAATTGCTCCAGGCTACTTAGAGAGCACCCCTGTCCTAACAGCCTTTGCTCATCAAAAGGGCTCTAACCCCTGTGCAGGCAGGCAGGTAATACCTGCTGAATAGACCTTTAACTCCTCTTCC